CTTCGAATAAGCCTGTATGGGATTGCTGGTAATGTTGACTTGACCTCACACCACCAGACAGAGAAAAAAAAACACGCTGCGACACTTCTGGCAAAGCTGATTATGACTAGAAACAACGGCCTTTGCGTGGTTCGAACTCTCCTGTGTTCTAGCAAGATGCCAAGCAATGCTCGGCGATAAGCAAAAAAAACTGCTCAGCCCTTGCGAGATGCCGAGGCGCAGCCTGACTCCAATCCTCCAATCTGATCGCCTTTGACCAGATCCAACGTCAAGTTGGTCTTTGCAATGAAACTGAAGCACTGATACGTAGACAAAACTGTGCTGTTCTTCTCATCCACGCACGAACGCAGAGTCGACAAGTCATCCGCCGTGTGGAGAAAGCAGTCCTTGTTTTTCGTCACAACCTCAGACATTCTCATGGAAGGCAAACGTCGGCGGCTTCGAACCAGCAAAGTAGACATACTCATGATGTGCGGCCCCAGTTTCCCGGACGGGTCGTGCAAATATGTAACGTCATCAATTTCGCAAAGCACTACAGCTAGGCTGCTTCGCCTCCGGTAGCCGTCTTGAATGACGTGCGTGAATACGCGAGCAGCAAGTTGTCTTTGGCGCTTAGGCTTACTGGAAACAGATCTTGTTCGAATCGCCAAAATCAAAGTAATGTATGAATTCCAGGGACAACAGGATCAACAATCTATGTTCATATACTTGAAGGCCGTGTTCAACGACAATTGCTGCGGTACTTGGCTGAAAAGAGTGCCATCACCACCGAGCAACAAAACAAGCAAGACGAACGTTATCACTGGTGGCAAAAACAACATCATCACACAACAAACCTCAGTGTGCAACCAACACGTGGATGTAGCAAAGCCACATCATGATCACGGGACGCAAGCTCCGCACAACAACATCAACACCTTCCAAACCGTCGCAAAAGAAAAAATAAATGTGCTGGGGCAATATCAAGCAGCGATTGAGACATTGAAGTCCTCCGACCCGTCCATGCCCTGTGCCATTCCGAGCACGATGAGCTATGGGAGGTGGAACATATAGAGGTGTAACAAATCATTCCTACTTGCAGTCAACCTAGATCTACGGCTTCTGCTAGCCCTGACTGCGCAGCTCCTTTTTTCTTCAAACACTCGTCCGTGCACGTTTCCAGCCTGTGTCACCCACGTGTTGGATGGACCCACCGATCCAGCAGGTTCACACCTGCTTTGATGGTAGGCAATTGTGGTAAAATGGTTAGTTTTCCATGAAGGGTCCTCCACACCTAGTTGGCTAACCTGATCAGCCCAGTTGCTCTTGCTGGGAACCCACTCCCAGAAAAACCAGGCCCGCAAAGCAAAAACCGCCGCACGAATCATGCCTCCCATGGGCTCCAGATCTGGTGAATCCGGTCTGCCTCAGATCAGGCACATGAGTGAGAAGCTGTCAAACGGCGCCTGGTTGACAAGAAACTTGATCCCGTTCGTGCCGACTATGCAGCTGATCCCAAAATACGTGGAGTACGTGATGGCCAATTTGCGAAGCCAGCATGCCACGCAAAAGGGACTTGCTGGCGGGCATGGTCTTCGATGCGCTCACTCCGCAGAGACGCCAGGCGACTCCAAGAACCTTTCATAAAGCGCCAGGGGCCATCTTTGCTCTTCACCCAAAAAAGCATTGTCCTGACTTTCAGAAAGCTTTATCGCTGCATCTTTGCCAAACGGTGGGGGTGATGGGGCACCTGGCTCTCTCCCGGATTCCCAGGGAGATAATTGCGCATGATCTGTGCGCCTGATGGCTGAGCTCTCCGGCTCTTGCTCCACCAGCTGCTGACACCGTGAGCTGTGGCTGCAACGCGACTTTCCTTCACAGTCGTCACTGGTTGGTCAACTCCAACCGGGGTGGGCCAGCGGGCGTCCCTGACCAAGGAGACCTATTTGATGTGCGAAGCAGCCACGCTAACCGTCGCCCGCTGCAGTCCCCTGCAGCATTGTGGAAGAAAACCAAAACTCGGGCGTGCAGGCCCCATGCCTCTAAAAGGCTGCTCGTATACAAGGAAATCAAGACTGACGCCCTCGCTGTGAGACCTGGGCGGCGGGGGCGGGCGCGCTCTTCTGTGACATCAAAAGCAGGAGAAGCGTGTGGCCGAGTGGATCCACACCAAGTTGAGAGTGACTCAGCTTGGCTCGTGGTTGGGACAGCCCGCAGGCTATGCGGCCACGCAGCGCGCATTTCTTCACGCGCAGGGCCCGAACCCGATGAGGGACACTCACAAGGGAGTGGCATGGGATCGCCCTTGGTGCCACAAGTGCTCGAGGACACCCTCTTCTTGGCACCGGAGGCAGAGGCAGTGCACAATGGCGCTGTCTCCATTTCAAAGCGAGTGCGCCCGCGGCCAAATCTGCTGGAAGTGACCAGCGCACCCGGCAAAGCCACCCCTTGTCGGGACGCAAGCTCCCTTGCGTCTTCCCGACCCAAAGGAGGCTTTAGACTGGGTCCGGAGAATCAGAGTCGGGACCGCCGGGCGACGGCCAGATCTCAGCCGTCCCTCTGGGCGCGCCTTAGCCCGGGCCTGAGGCTGCCTGCTCCTTGTTGCGGGCGCTTGGGGGCCGGCTCCTCAACCTCAACATCCGACACTGCCGTCCTCAGGTAAAACCTCAGCAACGGCAAAGCGCGCTCTCCGGCAGGATCGGTGCGCTTGCACGCTGCACAGGCGGCTTGCTGGGCGGGCGCCTCCACATGCTCGGCCCGTTTGCATCGCACTGCTGGCTGGCTGCACCTCCCTCACACACAGCGCTTGCCCATTACGAAGGCGCTTGGTCAGGCAGACTTTGGCCCTGGCTCAACGCTCGATCCGCCACTGCCATGGACTTCGCCTGGACCTCCTCCAGCGCTTCCTGCAGGATCACATCCCAACTCTTGTAGTGGCTCAGCTCCCTCAGCATGCGCGCAGGCAGAGGTCCTGTCAGTCCAATCGCCAGAGCCCTTCTGGCCACAAGTTGGCTCACCCCGCGCTCAGCTTGGTTTCGTCCGGCAAGGCCTGTGAGTTCCAGGAGGCCTCTCTTGCAATGCCTCGCTGCCGGCTTCCTTTTGTGGCAGGGTCAAGGTCACACTTGAGGTTGCTCGGCCTGTTCCCCCCGTCTCAAAAGCCTTCTCAGGCAAGAACTCATTCCGCGCCAGGGTCACTCCAACCCGGAAGGACGGCTTCGGGCTCGGAAGGTCGCTGTGGGACGGGACCGAGCCATCACCCACTGGCTTGTTAGGGTCGCGTAGGCAAAATTTGAGCCGCTCTTGCTCTGGACTCAACGCCGCATGCCCACGCCGTCCTGCCATGCGCAAGGCTGCAATGACCGATCTGTGAGATAGTGGGCCCACTCATTGCAGCAGGCAGGACACTCGTTGAAGGTGGGGACCACTTGGCCGTGAAGGTCTCTCGGAGCTCATAGGCAAACCACGGCTCCTTGAAAATCCGCACACCATCCTGGCATGGTAACTCCGAAGGCGCCACAAATCGTCTGGGCAGATCGCAGCTCACCCGAAGAAAGCCGCACGTCGCTGGCATGGTAACCTGCCCAAACGAGCCGGGGTGGCTCCTGCTGTGGAACCCACCGTGCAGCTCGGAACATCTGTGGCAACCAACCACTGTGCAAGGGGCCCAGCGCAAAACCGGTAACTCCGGAAATCCGCCCAAAATTACCCCTGCCGGAGACCCTGTGTGACGGATCTCCACCACCGAGCCCCAAAGGATCCGCGCCTGGGTGGTCGCTCCACCCTGCAGCCGCCGGTTGACTTCATAGCGAAAGTCCATGAAGGCTGCAGGCGAAAGGACCGGATGCTCCGTATGAACGGCATACTGAGTTCCTGGCATACAGGTCACTCCTGACACAGAAAACTCAACTAGCCAGTTTGGATCAATCCCTTGAGCCAAAGATGGCATAGTTGAAAATGCAGTAAGTAATGATACCTTGAACACCCAAGCCTGCCAGACCTCATTCAAGAATAGGATAGCTTTCTCCTGGAGCTTGGATTCTGACTAATCTGTACGGAGATGAGCAAGGGTGCTTCGTCAATGTGCCACGCTTACACAGTCTTGGTACTTCGCGAAAAAGGGTGTGCGTTGCTGGAAAAACTATTTCAGCCTGATTCCTGGTCTTACCATATTCGATCAAGGATTCCGGCCATCAACATCTAATCATGTTGAATCTCAACTTCAAACAAGAAATCTCTGTCAATGGGTCGACCTCTGCCAGCCTTGACAAGACGCTCCAATGGCAACCTGCCCCTCACCACAATCGAAAGCGATCGTTCTTTCTTGGGGCTACAGATTTAAATGGGTATGGGTCAAAATCAAACAACCAGAGGACTGCAGGTTTTAATCCTTGTCTCCATGTACCAGGATTCCATTTTGGGTACCTATTTTTGACTCATGCACAAATAAACTAACAACTCCCTCCCTGTTTTGCACGAGTAGAAAGGGTCTACGCTCTCACCTTTTGAGGCACGTGCTGCGCGAGAGTCCTTACGCAATCACCAAATCAGGAATGACGACAAAGATCGGCCCCAAACACCAGGAGCTTCTGATTCTTCTGAACCCCACCTTGGAACCCACCCCTTGGCGCTCAAAACGGAGCTTCCAAAGACTTGCGGTTGAAACACCCACGCAACAAATCTCTCCTGTCCTGGTCCAACTCGCACAACTAGGCAAAACACTAAAATCAACCAAGTAAGATTGTCTGTCCGCTGTCCATATGCCAAGTCTCAAACCAGCTTTCGCGTCCTAGTCCAAAAGCGTTATAGTCAACAGGTGATTGATCTAATTTTTATGCCGCAAGTCATGCCCAAAACCAGTGATTTGAAGCAGTAGTACGTGCATGCCAACCACGACCGCAATACTACAACCACAGCCAGTCAATATTCAAAGGAAGTTAAACAGCCCTGGCTGCCTTTGCACAGTACGACCTTCAAACCAACAAACAGAAACGTCAAACTAGCAGGGTCACGGCTCCAGTTGAGAGCAAGCCTTAAGCACAGGACAACAACTTTCTCTGTGTTGGAACCAATGTCCCTAGGACTAGGTTGTCACATTTCTGTGTTTCAGGGCTGGGATACGACCGTTGGCCAAAAAATCTAAGGAACCCAGAAAACAAACAAAAAAAGCACGACAATGCCAGGAAAAAGGTTCTCATGAACATTCCCCCCCAGGGCTGGTTTGATGTTTAGCTGTTTATCGTCTGGGTGTTGTGTCTTGTCTGGGTTGCCTAAGTTTTCTGGGTTGGACTGCTCTCACTATCAAGTGCCTAGAGTGTCTAGCAAAACTCGAAGAAACAGGGACAAGGAGCCTAAAACAAGAAAAACACCAACCCCCCGAGCAAAGGTTGTCAGGCATCAAATATGAGCATTTTCCGCAGGGCGTTAGGGTTCTCGTCTTGTGTGTGGTTTGCATGTTTCTGGCATTTGTTAGCTTGCTTCTAGTGTAGCCCCAGTTGCTTTGCAAGGTACAGCAAGCGCCTAGCATATTGTGCCTAGCGTATGTTGAGCAGTGTAGGACATATTTCTAGCATGACTTTACAACATGTCTGGCACATGTTTACTACATGTCTAGAGTATGTCTTGCAGTCTCAGCATGTCGAGCGCACTTCTATCATTTGTCTATCATGCGACCAGCATGCTTGTATGGCAGTGTGTCTTACAGCACATGCCAAACTACAAGCATCCAAATTCCAACAAGTGCTGTGTCCACCATTCCCAGCTATTCCAAACCGCTAAAAGTTACGCGGACCAAAACAGCACAGGGCGGATTTAGGCCTCTCCAGAACTGTGCTGCCAGTGCTGTCCGTTTTCAGATACCCTGCTAAGAGTGAGCAACTTTTAGTGGCTTAAATGGCCATGGGTCAAAAGCCCGTACCCCCAGTGAACATCCCAATCCCCACTAAAGTAGGTTCTAATTCACCGACCCCAAAATGGGATCCCAAAACGGTTTTGACCCCGCAACCACTCAACCCACTAAAAAGATCTAAGCACCTCGCTGGGAACCACCAAGAACGCCGGACGCCTTCATCACCTCCTCCACGGGGCCAGCCAGGCTCCCGGTGGAATCCACCTCAAAGCCTAAGGTCGGGGTTCCGCTGCCTGGTTTGCAAAACGCGCAACCCGGTCCTTGTGCACCGGAAATCAAATCAAACTGTCCACTGTGTTGTTAGAATGAGAATGATAATCGTACGCAAGTTTGTTTTCATGATTGTGAGCGTTGTGATTGCTATCATTCTAATCATCGTCATCATCATCATCATCATCATCATCATCAACATCAACATCAACATCAACATCATCATCATCCTCAGCATCATCATCATCATCGTCGTCGTCACCACCATCATGGCCATCGTCGCCATTGTCATCATCATCGTCATCATCACCATCGTCGTCATTATCATCATCATCATCATCATCATCATCATCATCATCATCGTCGTCAGTATCAGCATCATCACCACAACCGTCATCATCATCATCACCATCACCACGATCATTATCATCGCCATGAATACTATGTATGAACTGTTGGCGTTGCCAAACAAGCGCATGTCTACGTACATCATATGTATATAGAGGAAGCAAAATCATTGACCGCTGGATGTGTTCATAGTGAAAGGTGGGCGCCGAGGGCTGACCGCATATACATATGTCTGAGTTTCAATGTACTGCAATGCGATGCAATGTAATGTAAAACTAGTGTAATACGATGCAATGCAATATAAGGTAGTGTAGTGTGATGTACGGAATGCAATGTGGTGTAATGCAATGCAATGTAATGTGATGTGATGCAATGTAAGGTAATGTCATGTATGTGACATTACATATGCTATCGTGCACATGGCAGGGCACTGTGTTATACCCGAGGCAACTGCTGATCTCATTGCGCCAGTTTAACCTGCAGAACTGATCTGGGTCACGCTGAGATTCTTGTAAATAACTCCATGGGCTTTGCACAGCACAGGCCTTCAACCACTCTCGAGTGCGGCTAAAAGCATAAACTGCCAGCTTCTACTAGGGCCTGAAACACTCTGAGGAAAGCAAAAAAGTACGCCTCGCAGAATCGTGCAGAACGTCAAGCCATGACTAAGACGACCGATCTCCATTGTCCTTCAAGCAAATATATCACGGCCGAATTACATCAGCTCAGCAACCCAAATTGTGAAAAAGAAAGTGCTGAAACACAACAATGGCCTCTGCAGGATCCTGTCCAAAAGCTAGACTACATCGGTCTGTTCCGGACAAGTCCCACTGCTCAGCTGCTTTTTTGGCGTTGTAAGAGTCTTCCAGCCCCGAAGTGATTACACCTGCCACGACCGGAGTCCATTCATTGCACACTTCAAGCGGCCGTTTACAGCCAGCTCCGGCTGCAGAGAGGCGAAATTCATGTCGAAGATGGTGAGCTCCTTCGTCATACGTGCGAAAAAAACACGGGCGCCCGCGCACCCCCGCACGCACCCACACCGACCCAGACATAGACATATATATATATATGGTACAGCGTTGCCAGCCCCCCCCCCCTCCCCCCCCACTTGGATGGGCGTGGGTGGTTGCATTTACTTACTGAACATACTAAGTGTTTGGGCAACTTGCTATGTTACTTGACACACATAGGCTATGTCCTCTAAGTTGTACTTAGGCAGCTTGGCTAAGTCCATTTAGCCTTGACTTAGCAAGTCCGGTAAGTCCCGCAGGGAGGAACAAAAAGCGGTGGAATGCAATGCTTTGTCAGAGCACCTCAGGCCGCTTGAGGCCGAGCGCTCCCTGGTCCAAGACCGTTCCGAGACCGTTCCGAGACCTCCGTACAGGCGTCGCAACCGAGGTGGTTTGCCTTATACTGCAGGCATAGCAAAAAAACAAATAAAACAGGGTGGGTCAAAAATGGATTTACCCATGTGATGGAACCCTGGAAAACGGAACCAACGACTGAAAACTGCGGCCTTTTGGGGGTTTAATTGTGACCCATTGTGTGCCCAATGTATCCCCAGGTCTAAGTTTATGTAGTTTCGGGGTTTTCATTGTCAAAAAACAGGGCACCTCTGAAAGAGGTTGTTTCCCAAGGAAGATTCCTTTTGTATCAAACCCCAAAAGGGTTTCCTTTAAACCCCGAGTCGTCATGAGGTATATATGCAATTGGTTGCACTTTTGTTGCCACACCTACACCCGATCCCTTATATAAAAGCAATGTTGTTGCTGGGGTATGTTTTGGGGGCCAACGTATATATCGTATGTTGTACATATATAGTATATGTGTGTATAAGGTTTGGGCACCGTGCCGCCAGCCAGCCAGCTGCGGCAGCCTGGCGCGCCAAGCAGGCGAGATCGAATCGAATCGACAGGCATTGGGAGAAATGACACCCCACACACCCTTATATATATATATGAGAAGGCGTATGCTGTTTGGTGTGGAATCAATGAAACCAACAATTAATAAGACCAACGTTGTGTTAAAACCAAGGGGACCCTTCTCCAAGACTCGACAAGCTGCTAAAAACCAAGGGGCTCTGACCAAGGACTAGCTGATAAGTAAGGGATCTATATAATCATCAATGCTTTTCCAAGAAAGGGCTTCTCACGATTGGAACAGGTTGCATATAATGAGGTCAAACCATTTCACCCATTGGACATCAAATGTAAGAACATTGCCCCAAAAGGTCTTCAATCCAGTGTGCAACTCAGAAACTCTTTGTCAACAACCCCAAAACAAAACGGGAGCAGCAGCAGCGGCCATGTTTCACTCATCAAGGCACCACCGTAGCTACGTCGTCTTTCTTTTTGAAAACGCACACTTTGCAAATTTGATTTGTTGGAACCAGCAAGGGGTCGTCTTGAACACGGAAGCGGTTTGCACCAAGTGGAGCCCATGGGGACATACAGGTGAACAGCTTGTTCCCGGATAGAATGTGAAACCACACCTCCCCAATCAAAGTAGCGCCCCCTCCATCTGTAACCACCACATCTTGGCGACGGCAGGTCTCCCCTGTTCTAAACATGGCCTCTTCAGATGCAAAAATATTGCACCCAGATTCAAGTTCCAAAGCCGGAGCCATGAGGTCCCTGATTGTGTCGGATGCCAGCTTTCCGTTGACTAAGCCAACATTGCTGGCTTTGAACTCACGAAGATCTGCAAATTGGGCCAAGGTAATATCTGTAAGAAGCCCACGTTCGAAGGCGGTGGTCTTAAGGTTCGCGTTGTGAGCTTCGCTTGCATATCGTTTCGGTTCACGATGTTTCCTTTCATGTGTCCAACACGAAACCAATGTACCGTGTCTCCTCAATATCGATGGCAGGTGGAAACAATAATGGCACTTAGGGAAAAAGGATTCTTCCCCATACGCCACTTTCATCAAACACAAGTGGGTCCTGATTGCCTGCTCCAGTTCTGGAGGGCTAGGTCCGCGCCCTTTCATGATAGCGTGTAAGTGATCGAGGACTCGGCAAAGGGCATAGTAAGATTGGATTGCAGCTGCAGACTCATCAGTTGGGGTTGGAGCAAGTTCTTGCAGCATTTGTCTGATAACGGCGTACGAGGCAAGGCCTTCGGAGGCACTAGCTTTCACCTCCCCCGCAAAGTTCCCAGGTCGTTTCTCAAAGATTCGCATGCCAGTAATCTTGCGTGAGTGCAGTCGACGGGGCCATGTGAAGCCCTTCATATACTGGTCAGCGGTCTGGTTGGAGATCGGAATGGAAGCCAAAGCACCCATCAACCATCCACACTCGTGATTCCAAACCCCGGAAACGAAGTAGCAATGCATCCAGTCATACATTGTTGCTGAAATTGGACCATGTTGAATGTGCTGCAGGGCTTGGGGGTCGAAAAGGATCCCATGTTCAGAATAGGTAAGCCCTAGGGACTGTTCCAGTCGCTCGAACGCACTCTTGGTGGAAGCGCCCTTGCTGCGGGACAATAAGCCTGCGGCCTGCACCACGCTGTTGTCTGTTGCAAGGCAGAAGCTTCGAGGATCCGTCTCGCTAATTGGCACCAGTGTGTTGGTAGCATCGTTGAGGTGCAAACCAGACGCTAGGGAGACCACATTCCTGCAACAAATGCACGGCAACGTCCCACTGGATCCTTTGACGGACCAAGCCTGCTTCAACGCTGCTTCGTCAGCCACAATTGCAGTGATCGTTGCAAAAAACAGTTGCGGTGGTGCTTGTGGCCCGCCACAGCTCAATAGCACTCCCTTGGAAAGGTCGAAAGGGTTCTTGAAGAACGACGCAGCCACCGCTTTGAAGAGTTGGCTCAGCCCCCCCTCCACCTGCTTGATGAAAGAGGATCTTACAGTGATGATGTTCATCCAAAGGCACTCTGCAGACAAGTAGGGTCCCCACTCAAACATCGACCAATAAACTGCCCAGAGCTTTCGGCCATTGTGCACCGCCAGGTTGTTCCCAGGAACAATTTCATCTGCGTATAGGACAATCCGCCAACCGTTCTCAGGTGTGCTGGGGTGTGTCTTGAGCTGATGTGCCATGAGTGAAGCAAAGCCAGGACACTCATTGCAGGCCGTCCAGAGCATAGCAATCGGGTTGATCATAGGAAAGGACTTGTAGGACCCGTTGGTGAGTTTCAAGGAAACTTCTGCCCAAAGGCCCCCAACTGGAGCGCCAGCATCCATGCTTACGTCACGTGCCCTCTTGATTGTTCTTCGGCTACTGCTCTCTGGAAGTCCATTCTCCCTAATGTTCTTCAAAACTGCTTCCAGGCCGCTTTGGGATACAAATGATTTCCCTGGTTGGAAAACACTGGTCATGACGTGCGAGCTCAAAGCCCTGCACAAAGGCGCGAGCTCGGTGCCCTGCGCCAGGCAGGCATGAGGCCACCATGGCGGACAAGTGCATGTGTTGACTGTGTTGCTGAGTTTCCTCTGACATGGCATGTCTCAAGTGCAATGTGAGTTGAGCGAACGGCCCTTCCATAAAGGAACTCTGCGATGACCTGTTTCAAGAACATTCTTATATACAACATCCCTGGCTTTATAAAATGACCTCAAGCCAACATCCTCGGCACGCACTCAGCTCCAACCTTCCCTCACCCACACGCGCGTGGCACAAGGCCTGTGAGCAACAGAGAGAGCTCGGTCTGGCCTGGGCGCGTTGCAGGGCTCAAAAGCTCGTGACACTTCTTCGCAGTTGCAGGGCTACAAGCTCGCAACATGTTGCAGGGCTCCGAAGCTCGCGACACTTGTTTGAAAATGCAATTCACAAGGCCATGTTGCAGAAAAAAAGTCAGCGCACTGTAGATTTTTTGCAGCTTGCGCCTGTCGCACCCCTGTAGATACGGAGTTATACCCATGCACTAGCACAAGGCACACATGCAGATGCACAACCATGACCAGTAAACAGCCAGAAGAGGTTGCGACCCTTCTCAAACACAATTTGCAAACGTTGTGCAAATGCTATATAGCCTGTTCCAGTGTCTCCCTGTATACACATCTCCTGCAGTGGAGCGACCTAAGCCAGCCAAAAGCAAACTGGGAACCACAGAGCGCCCTATGCGATCCCAGCGTGAGACTTGAGCGTACGACCCTGAAAGCAAGACGGAGTGCATCCTGGTGTACCCCTGCATTTGGAGCACCCTTGACCGTAGAACTCAGCCCTATAGGCTGCAGTGATGCGTTTGCCGCGAACAGTGATGGTGCTGTACTCACGCGCGCGCTTCTTTGGCGCTGCTTTTGCTTTCGCTGTCGCGTGCGCAGCCTTGCCTCCTGCCGCCTTGCCTCCTGCCGCCTTGCCTCCTGCCGCCTTGCCTCCTGCCGCCTTGCCTGCACATGCCGCCTTGCTGCTGTGCGAGCCTGATGCCTTTCCGCTCAATCCTGCGTCCTCGCTTGATTTTCCCTTGCCCTTGCCTTTGCCTTTCTTTGTCTTTGTTTTGCCGGATGCCTTGTTTGTTCCCGACGTCGGGGTCTTGTGTGCAGGTTCTTTCTTTGCTGCTGCCTTTTTTGCAGACTCCCTTTGCTTCAAGGCAGTTTGAACCATCTCCGCCTGTTCCGCGGCGCTCATATCCGCCAAGGGGCTTTGCTGAGGGAGCTGCAAGGGAGGGGTGTCTTCCTGAGGGCTCTCGGAGCTGGCAGCATGCTGGGTGGAAGGTGGCAATTGCTTGGAGCCTGTGGAATGTTCAAGAGGAGTGTTGGGGGGGGGAGTCGCGGTTTGCTCCGTGGCTGGCTCCTGGGACGAGTCTTGAGCACATTCAAGGGCTTTGACCTTGCTCTGCTGTTTGTTTGGAGCAAATAGCTTCAAGGTGGGCAGTGATGCGGCTTGGGAATTGTTTGGTTGCTGGCAGGACTGAAGCATCATGTGCATCATGTTCAGCATCTGGGTTCCAAAATCGGTTGGACTGGCATCGGAGCTGCGAGAAGCAACCTGGGAAAAACTCTCACCACGTAGCAACTTGCTACTTCTCCTC